TCCCAAATCTATATTTCAATTCATATTTTATTTATTTACTTTTTTGATTTAATTTTCTTGAAGTTTACTAACGTGTGTATTGTTTTAATAGCAAGAAGGTTGAGGCATCAAAGTGAATAGTTTAACCACCCTTATTATTATTATTATTATTTGATCTTGGAGTAGAAATCATGTTTACAATATTATTTTAATTCCTATTATCATGCTTAGGATGTTTTATGATTTCTAGTATCATGTTTAGGATAATGTTTTGATTTTTTTATTAGTAACATGTTAGGATTTGTTATTAGTCCGTTTAGTATCATGCCTAGGATCTTACTAACGATGTTTTGATAATGATCTTATGATGATGATTGTTTTGTTAACCATATGTTGCTTGATTATGCTTAATTTATTATTGTTATTGCTTCATCACGCCTCTTTTTGCAGGATTAAAGGGAATTTGTACTTGAAATCACGCCTAATAAGATAATTAATAATTTAGGCTAATATGTTTTTAATTCAAGTGATCACCAATAATAGGTTAGATTATGCATGAATAACCAACCAACATGAAACAGGTTTAGGTTTAATGTGATGTATGTATGTTGATCAAAAAGCGCACATGAATATCATAAGAATTAAGTAGAGGCCTATTTAGGGCGAGTTCAATCTCTTTTAGGTTGCATTCGTACCATCATCCCCGAACATCCAGTCATGGTTCCGGACAACTATGGAGTTAGCAATCTCCATGATCGTGAATAGGGTGTAACCTTCACACTTGTGAACGGTTTACAAGTTCCTAAAACTTGTTGGCGACTCTTTTATCTTTAGCTTCTTTTAATTTCCTTGGAACGCCGTGTAGTACCCCGTATTTTTGAAACGTATCTTCTAATTAATTAATTAATTAATATTTCCTAAAAAGGGTATTTTACTTTGAATTTTGGAGCCAAAATGATATTTGAATTTGGCGCCAAAAACATTTTAAAAGTTAATTATTATTTTTGGATTTTGGATAAGATTTACTATTCATTTATTTATTTTAAAAAAACCAGATTATACACACACACACACACACACACACACAAATATATATATATATATATATATATATATATATATATATATATATATATATATATATATATATATATATATTTCCGATATTTTAATTAAGAAAAAATATATTTTTTTATTTAATTAAGAGGGACAAAAAATCCTAATTAATTAGCTATGATTTTCGAATTTTCTAAGTGTAGAAAATCTGGTTTTCTTAGTAAAATTATTTAGTGAATAATTGGTATTTTTCTAGTTAATTATTTTATACAATATATATTTTTTACACAATCATTTTTAATCAATAAAATCTAGCAAAATAACTTCCTTAAATCTAATCAAGAGGGCCAAAAATTTGAGCTTAGGAAAGCTCAAAAATTTCGGCCACCTTGGGGTGATTTTGAGAATTTTATTTTGGTAGTTTTGTATTTTAATTATCTTCCTTAATTCTTACTATTTTCCTTAAATCTTATTTCCCATCTCATAAAGATTTATCCATCTTATTTATTTACCTTAAACCATTCTTGATTATTCCCTAAGCAAAGCCATTTTCCATATTATTTTTCACGACAACGTACTTTCCATAATTAATTATTCCTTAATCACCATAAAACTAAACTTTCCTTAATTTTTTAGCTCTCTTCTCCAAGTAATTCCTTAAACCAAAATTACCATAATTCTTCCTATATTTTCCTACCATAATTCTTGCATGAGCTAGCCTATAAATACCACTTGAATCATAGCTAGAAACCCACACCAAAGCTCTCTTCTTTCTCTCTAATTTCTCTCTTATTCTCTTCTCTCCTTTTCTCACTTCCTTGAGCCAACCACCACCATAAACCACCACTGCCGTCGTCAGCCACCACCTCCGGGCGACCACCAACGTCGCCACCAGCAACAGCCACCTGGCGGCGTGCTGCTGCCCCTTACCGACCCCTTCTTCTTCCTTATTCTTTGGTTTTCTACTTCTTCTTCTCTTCTCCTAATTAATTCTATTATTATTATTATTATTATTATTATTATTATTATTATTATTATTATTATTATTATTATTATTATTATTATTATTATTATTATTATTATCATTATTATTATTTTATATGGTGGTTTATAAAACAATTATTATGAGTGTTTTTAATTAAATAAAATCGGTTTATTATTCAAATTTATGAAAAAGAATTTATAAGGTTCGTGTACATAAAGTTGGGGGTTTTATATTAATTGTTGTGATTATCTGATGACCTTATATTGATTAAGGTTATATTTAATTGTAGGGTGTTTTTGACAAGAGTTCTTGAGGTTCCTTTATGTGTGTTTGCTAAGCGAGGATCAAGGTACGTTTAGGCGGCTAGATACCTTTGAAATTGATTGGATTAAATAAGCATGTTTTATATGATTTTTTTGGTGATTGAATTAAATTAATTTGAATTATGATTTATGAAATAAAGTATGTTTAAAGGAATTGATTTTAATAAATAAATTTGAAGGATTGATTTTAATATCATGTTTTGAATAATTGAATTATTTATCATGTTTTAAAAGGTTTGATTTTGAAAGCATGTTGAATTAAATAAAATGGAGTTTTGAATTGTTTTAATTTAAATATTGGAATTATTGATTTAAAGAGGATTTATTAAATTATTTATAAAAGCTTTACAAGCATGATTATTATATTACTCCCACTATGCGGATTCATTGAAGAATATGGACTTTGTATGAACTAGTCTTTCCTCAAGAATAGTCTTTCAATATAAAGATACTAGATTGGGGGGTGTGCACACTTAGGAGAGAATTGAGTTTTTGAAAAGAGGAATTGAGTTTTTAAAAAGAAGAATTGATTTTTAATAATCACTATTATTGAATTTTGAGTATTGAGTTGTTGGAATTATGTTTGAGAATCTTGAGAATTGGTTTTGAATCATGAGTTTCGAAAATATTGAATTAATTATTGGAAATGGCTTTAAAAGCTTGTTTGCTGATAAATTGAATTTACTTATCTTGCACTTATCATACTTAGCATATTTTTCTAATCCGTATTTCCTATTTGTTTTGGTTCACCCTGTTTACCTTAATGGTAAGCAGTGTTAACTATTTCTCACGTGGAGTCAATAAATGAGCATTTGAGAATCTTGGGATATTCTTCACCTAGTTAGAAATGTTGGTCGTTGTTTCTATTTTTGAGTACTCATGACATTGGTTACTATTTATATTAAGTATTAATAAAGGAAGAGTTTGAGTTTCTGCTACGAAGTTGTGGTTTTAATTACTTTTTTGAGTAGCCTTGCGTAATCACGCAGCGGTAATACGCCTTAGTCTATCTCTACGGCATAATTAAACGTATCATACTAGTATTTCCGTAGAGGGAGATTTGGGGGTGTTACAAGTGGTATCTGTTTTCTGGTCTTAAAAGCTTAAAATGGGAATAAATAAAAATTGTGGGTAGACTTAAGAGGGCATATAGAATAGAGTTTTGCATTTGTGTGTGAAAGTCAAAACCATTTTTTTAAAAATAAAAACTATTTTCTTATTTGTAAAGATGACGGAGAAAAGGATTCTCGAGTACGACTCTCTATCTAGGCAAGACTCTCCTCGACGCTATAGGTAACTTACCTAGGAGATGCATGCTCGACCTTCTAATATCATGATTCAAGTACATTATTATTATTTTCGAAAACAAAAAGAACTGAAACTATTTGAAAGCTTGAGTGTGTGTGTTCATTAAAGTTGGTATTAAAACACCTTAGTATATGGTCAAGAGGTCCGAATTTTTGAGTTATTGCCCATAGTTGGGTGATCTTGAGTTATACTTGGTTGATTGAGTAATGACTTGCTTATGCAAATGGATTTTTGAATTGAATTGCTTATGTGAATTGGCATTGAATTGATTATTTTGCATGTGTATGTGAAATAGATGGAAAAGATTGATGAAATGAGAAAGAAATACTTTAACTTGCATTATTTGAAAGATGATGGAGTCAGTGTTAGTGAGTTTTTAACTGGCATAGTTGCTTTGGCCTTAACCTTCTATGAACGATATGGATTGGAAGTGTTGACCCAACCACCTTGGATGATTTCCTTGGCCTTAGCCCATTTGCCTAGAGTTCTCAAATATAAACCTCTCTTTGATAAGTATAAGGATGTAATCAAGGATAATGGAATGTGGAATGAAAAACACCATCATGAAGGGAAGTGGTTAGCAACCGTGTCTAGCTTCAAAAGAGACGCACTATGTTGAACGTGACTATGAGCCTAGGAGGAGAATTGTGAGATTTTCCAAACTTTCAAAGAATGCCACCTTGAGAGAAGTTAACCAAATGTACTACTTAAATGCTCAACTACCTTTTGCATACCGAAAGCGCCGTCCCCTCCACTGATGAGTCCATCCCACCTCTTGGGAGGAGCAAGAATTACCCTTCTCCTTCATCTACTCCAAGCTATGAACCTCCAAGGCATCCGAGCCCAAAAGCCTATTTTCATATTGCAAAAAGGCCCAGAAATCTTAACTAAGAAGTTAATCAAAAGCCACCAAGCCTAGAATACCATCCATCTTCACCAAAAGTTCAACAAACCCAATGCTTCTTCAAAGCCAACCTGTGGTTGTGCTAGTCCACACAAAAGCCCAAATCACAACCCAAATTCAAGTTCAAGCCATACTCCAAGTTACAGTTGATATAACCCAACCTTCACCATCCCAAGTGATAAGGGAAAGGCTAAGCAAGATGATCCTGACTATGATCCCAATGAGGATGACTATTCTGAGAGTGTTGCTTAAATGATTGAGCTATACATGCTACGTTTATTGCTTTCAATAATTGCCTTAGATGGCAAAGTTGTACTTTTAATTTGATTATTAATGAAATGAAGTTATTTTTATTAAATTTTTCTTATGTTATTGAGTGAATTAAATGCTTATATGAGTAGAACTTGTTTTAATTTTCAAAGTATGGTAATTATACCCAGGAAGTATGTCTGCAAGAATGAGAAACCAAATGGGAAGTAGGCGCACTGATTCCAAAGTAGGGAAAGTCCTTAGAAAGTTAACCAGTGTCACTGAAAACATCACGAAAGTGGTGAACCAAGGAAACCGTAATTCTGACCTTGACTGTTATAGCGAAGTTTTTAAGAGAGTTGTTGCAGCCAAACCACCTGTTTACTTGGGGAAAGAGGACCCAGACAGTCTTGAAAACTGGAGTTGGGAGTTTGACAAGTTGTTTGATGTTATCAATTGCCCAAGTGAGCTGAGGGTGAACAACGGTGTTTATTATCTAAGGGAGGAAGCTGACTTACAGTGGGCCCAAAGAAAGGATGAGTTGTTGAAGAAACAAAACTTTGGGTGGGATGAGTTTAAGGAAGCCTTGAGGGAGAAGTTTTACCCTTCTTACTTGAGAAAGCAGAAGTGTATGGAGTTTACCAACCTGAGAATAGGGAACATGTCTATCAATGAATACTACAACAAGTTTATTGAGTTGATGAGGTTTGTCCCGGAAGTAGTTTCTAGTGAAACCATCAAAGCTTAGAGATTTGAGCAAAGCCTAACCTTGACCCTCCAAGGGAAGCTAGGGGGAGTTACTTTTGAGACCCAAAATGAAGTCTATGGCCGTGTAGGCCACCTGTACGGTATCAAGGGGAGAGAGATGGAGCATTCTAGAGAGAAAAGGAAGAGGTTGACGTTAAGTCAGGAAAAGTGAAAGAGTCTAGTGCTCCTAGAAAACCATCTTAACCTAGTGGATCTGCACCCAAGGTAGGAACCAGTAGTGTCGCGGAAGGTGCCCCAATGGGTCGTGTGTTCGTGATGAATAGCTGTGAGGCTGAAACTTTTAATGATGTAGTAATTGGTGTTTTCCTTATAAGTTCTTTGTCTGTGAAAGTTTTGTTTGATTCGGGTGCATCCTATTCTTTTATTTCTAAGAGAGTGGTTGAAATTCTTGGGTTAGGGAGTCCTGAGTCAGTTTCTCTAGATGTGTCTATTCCGTCTGGGGAAGTGAGAAATTGTTCCAAGTTGTTTAGGAGTGTACCTCTTTCCATTTCTTGGGTAGAGTTTTCGTCGGATTTGATCGAGTTCGATTTAAAGGATCTCGATGGGATTTTGGGTATGGATTGGTTGGGAAAGTATGAGGCCAAGATTGACTGTGTAGCTGAAAAGCTTACTTTGAATAGCCCAAGTAAAACTAGAGTGACTTACGTAAAGGAAGGGATGAGTTCAAGGTTGAGAATTATTTATGTAATGCAACTACAGAAGTTTGTTAAGAAGGGTTATCCTCTGTTTATGTGTAGTGTTCAAGAAGTTAAAAGTGAGGAAGAGAAGATTAAGGATAGTATTCTGGTTATGGAAGAGTTTCCTAATGTATTTCCAGATAAGATTCCTGGTATGCCACCAGTGAGGATGTTGAGTTCACTATCAACCTAGTGCTTGGTACTAGACCTATTTCTAAGGCTCCATATAAAGATGGCTCCAGCTGAGATGAAAGAGTTGAAGACTCAGTTGGATGATTTGTTGAAGAAAGGCTACATTCGACCCATTTCCTCATCATGGGGAGCTCTAATGTTGTTTATAAAGAAAAATGATGGAAGTATGAGGTTGTGTATTGATTATCGAGAGTTGAATAAGGTTATAATGAAGAATAAGTATCCATTGCAAAGGATCGATGATTTGTTTGACCAGCTGAAAGAGGCTGGAGTGTTTTCGAAGATAGATTTGAGGTCAGGTTATCACCAGTTGAGGATTGGGGAGCAAGATATTCCAAAGAGTGCTTTCAGGACCCTTTATGGTCACTATGAGTTCACAGTTATGCCATTTGGTTTGACCAATGCACCAGCAATGTTCATGGATTTGATACATAGGATTTTAAAGCCATACTTGGATAAGTTCATAGCAGTGTTCATTGATGATATTTTAATTTATTCAAGGGATAAAGGGGAGCATGAGGAGCATTTGAGACACGTACTGTCATGTTTAAGAGAGCACTAGTTGTATGCTAAGTTGTTTGGTTAGAAAAAGTGGCATTTTTGGGCCATGTGATTTATAAGGAAGAAGTTTTAGACTTTCAATTAATCGAAGCAAGATTTGAACTGTCAGTGAATGGCCAACCCCAAATAATGTTTCGGATGTAAGAAGTTTCTTGGGTTTAGCAGACTATTACAGAAGGTTTGTGAAGGATTAATCAAGGATTTCAAAGCCCATGACAAGTTTGATGAAAAAGGAGAATAAGTTTTCATGGACCCAAGAATGTAGAGAGGTGTTTCAGACCTTGAAAGAAAGGTTAACCACAACACCTGTGCTGGCTTTGCCTGATGGAAGTGATCTATATGAAGTTTATAATGATGCATCGAAGTCTGGACTAGGATGTGTTTTAATGCAGAAACGAAGAGTGAATGTGTATGCTTCAAGGCAGTTGAAACCACATAAGGTGAATTACCCAACCCATGATTTGGAGTTAGCTGCAATAGTGTTTTCTTTGAAGATTTGGAGGCATTATTTGTATGGGGTGACTTGTAGGATTTTCACGAATCATAGGAATTTCTCAGTGATTATGAATTGGATATTCAATGGCATTATTTGTATGGTTGGAATATGAATTGGATATTCAATGTCATGAAGGAAAAGCTAATGTTGTGGCAGATGCTTTGAGTAGGAAGTCAGAATACTCGATGAATGTAATTGTGGTGCCAAATCAATTGTGTGTGAAATTTCAGAAAATGAGTTTGGAAGTGATGGATCATGAAGAAAGTGACTAGGATGTTGAATGCATTGGTGATTCAACCATCCATATATGATGAGATCGGGTAAAGTGATAAACACGTTTTACACATATGTTTTGACCGACTTTTCAATACATTCTTGTATGGTTTTAGGCTCTTTCGAACCATTTTCCGCTAACATTCTCTTATCTAGTGTGTTCGGTGTATTTTTATAAGTTTTACAGGAACTTGGAGTTTTTCGATGATTCGGACACATTTTGAGCGATATTGGAGATGTTGGTGGACAAGGATGTAAAACCGAGCTAAACAAGAACCAATCTTTGAAAAACAAGAAGCAAAAAGCAGTTTTTATAACTGTGCCTGATTGGGCTAAGCATGTCCGGTCAGATCGAGCACAGTAGGGACTCTTGGCTGATGCTAGAATTGAAGCAAAGAAGTTATCTTAAGGTTTTATGCCACGCGCCCGATCAGGAAGGCCTTTTCCGGTTGGACCGGCGCGTGGTGGCTAGAGGCGTTCAAGGCTATGAAGATCAGGACAAGGCAGCTAGCAACGTTGTGCCTCGCGCCCGATCGGGCGCCACCTGCACGGTTAGATCGGGCAACGAGGAGAATAGCAAGTAGGAGAAGCACTGTTTTTTATGCCACATGCCCGATCGGGCATGTCAATCCCGGTCAGACCGGGCACAGTTGTGCGCAACTCCGAATTCTAGTTTTATTATTTTTAGGTCATTATGGGTATAAATACCCATTGTAATTATCGTTAGTGGACAGACTACTTTTTTCCTTAAGTCCTCTTTCTCTCTCTAGAACTCTAGTTTAATACTTTTTAGCAATTTAATTCTTAGGTTAGATTTGGGTATTGTTGATTAACAATTTGAGTAATTTCAATTGAAGCATCATTGGTATTCATTTATATTCCTTTCTCTTTCAATTATTATTGTTTTCAATTATATTTTCCTTGATTAATTTTGTTATTGCTTATTTCAATATGTGTGAGTAGTTTTCTTATTTTAAAATCTAGGGTAGCCCAATTATGATTGATGCATGATTTAATTCTTTAAATTCTCTAATAACTATTGCAATTGTTATGCTAAATTGATTGTGATTATGCCAATACTAGATTAGAGATAATTAGTATTGTTATTATTCCATAGTTTCAATCACAACGAGAGTTGGGTTTTAACGGAATTGAGTAAATTAATTTAGGGTTTGAAATTCATCACGAGAGTAGTTGAATTGATAATTGGGAAGTGAAGTAAAGTGTTTAATGTCTCTAATTTGCATGATACCATGAGAATAGGCTTGATTGTAGGTTAGGGAAGCCATTGATACTCGAGAGAGGTCCTTGGTATTGGTTAGGGTTTGCTTTTCCCCGTGTTAATTGGAATTGTATGTTAGGGGTAGATATATAATTGTGTCGATCGTAATTGTGGTGATACTTGATCTTGGATGTTTTAGCTTATTGATTTATTATATTCGTTTGATTATTTCTAGTTTTCCATACATTAGCTTTTAGTTTATTCCACCATTGTTTGATTCCTGCTTAGTAATAATTTGAGTCTATTTAATTAGTTGAACTTTAGTCTCTTGGGATTCGGCCCTTACTTGCCCAACTACATAGTTAGGAGGAATAGTTAGGTTATTTTTGTTAGGTACGCGACACGCCTATCAGAAAGTCAACTAGAGGATGAAAAGTTGAAGGAAATAAAGAAAAAGATCGATGAAGGTCAAGTGTTGGATTTCACCATTGGTGATGAAGGAAGTACTCGTTTCAAAGGAAGATGGTGTGTACCACAAAGTCGTGGAGATTTGAAGCAGAGATTGATGGAAGAAGCCCATAATTCTCCTTATTCAATGCATCTTGGAAGGGATAAGTTGTATAAGGATATGAAGAAGACGTTTTGGTGGCCCAATATGAGGAAAGATGTAGCTGAATTTGTGGTCAAGTGTTTAACATGTCAGGAAGTGAAGATTGAGCATCGTACGCCTCACTGCAATCCTTGGAAGTGCCAAAATGGGAATGGGATTCTATTTATATGGATTTTGTTGGAGCATTGCCTAAGACCAAGGCTGGAAATGACACTATATGGGTAATAGTGGACAGGTTGACGAAGTCAGCAGCATTTTATACCCATGAGAAGTACTTGGAGTATGAATCAGTTGGGAAAAGCTTATGTGAAGTTTGTGGTGAAGTACCATGGGGTACCCACGGATAACATTTCGGATAGAGATTCAAGATTCCTGTCTAACTTATGGCAAAGTTTGCAAAAGGGGATGGGAACGAAGCTGCGAATGAGCACAGCATTTCATCCTGAGGCAGACGGTCAGACTGAGAGAACAATTTAGACATTGAAAGATATGTTGAGAGCATGTGTGATAGAGTATCAAGGGTCTTGCGAAGATCACTTGAATCTGATCAAGTTTTCCTACAATAACAAGTATCATGCAAGCATTGGAATCGCAACGTTTGAAGCTCTGTATGGTCGGAAGTGTAGAAGCCTAGTTTGTTGGGATGATATAAGTGAGACGATGGTACTCGGGCCTGAGATGATTGAGGATATGGTGAAACAAGTGAAGTTGATCTAAGAGAAGATAAAGGCAGCCCAAGATCAATAGAAAATTATGCTGATTTGAAAAGAAGAGATGGAGAATATGAAGTGGTAGAGAAAGTGTGTAGTAGATTTCACCCATGAAAGGGGTAATGAGGGTTAGGAAGAAAGGGAAGTTAAGCCCAAAGTACATAAGCCCGTATGAGATCATTCAGAAAGTGGGAAAAGTGGCATATAAGTCGGATTTTCCTAATCAGCTGGAAATGGTTCACAACGTGTTACATGTGAGTCAAATTCGAAAGTATGTACCTGATGTGACACATGTGTTACAACCTGAAACAATTGAGATGGATGAGAAATTGACCTATGAGGAAAGACCAGTGAAGATTTTGGATACTAAAATAAGAAGCATAAGGAACAATGATGTGAGAGTTGTGAAAGTGTTATGGTCGAACCATAAAACTGAGGAGGCTACATGGGAAGATGAGGCTGATATGAGGAAACGTTACCCAGAACAGTTTGACTAAGGTTAGTGGTCAAGTTACGGGGGCGTAACTCTTGTTAAGGCGGGTAGAGGCGATAGAGTTTCGCGCGTTTGCATTTCGAGTCATTTTTTAGTGTTTTTTTAGTCTTCCTTGAGTTAGTTGTAGTCTTGAATCGAGTTAGGATGTTCATGAACCAATAGCTTAAAATAATTTGAAATGACTTTCTTATTTCTTTAGCTAAGTTTCAGGACGAAACTTCTTTTAAAGGGAGTAGACTGTAATACCCCGTATTTTTAAAACGTATTTTATAATTAATTAATTAGTTAATATTTTCTAAAAAGGGAATTTTAGTAATTTATTTTACTATTTGAATTTTGGAGCCAAAATTATATTTGAATTTTGGCGCCAAAAGCATTTTAAAACTTAATTATTATTTTTGGATTTTGGATAAGATTTACTATTCATTTATTTTATTTAAAAAAAAACCAGATTATATATATATATATATATATATTTCGGATATTTTAATTAAGAAAATTATAATTTATTATTTAATTAAGAGGGATGAAAATTCCTAATTAATTAGCTATGATTTTAGGATTTTCTTAGTGTAGAAAATTTGATTTTCTTAGTAAAATTTAGTGAATAATTGGTATTGTTCTAATTAATTATTTTATACAATATATTTTTACACAATTATTTTTAATCCTTAAAATCTAGCAAAATAACTTCCTAAAATCTAATCAAGAGGTCCGAAAATTTGAGCTTAGGAAAGCTCAAAAATTTCGGCCACCTTGGGGTGATTTTGAGCAATTTATTTTGGTAATTTTGTATTTTAATTATCTTCCTTAATTCTTACTATTTTCCTTAATACTTATTTCCCATCTCATAAAGAGTTAGCCATCTTATTTATTTACCTTAAACCATTCTTGATTATTCGCCAATCTAAGCCATTTGCCATATTATTTTTCATGACAACATACTTTCCATAATTAATTATTCCTTAATCACCATAAAAAAAATGTTCCTTAATTCTTTAGCTCTCTTCTCCAAGAAATTCTTGAAACCAGAATTACCATAATTCTTCCTACATTTTCCTACCATAATTCTTGCATGAGCTAGCCTATAAATACCCCTTGAATCATAGCTAGAAACTCACACCAAAGCACTCTTCTTTCTCTAATTTCTTTCTTATTCTCCTCTCTTTTTCTCACTTCCTTGCGCCAACCACCACCACAAAACACCATTACCGCCGTCAACCACCTTTTCCGGCGGGCCATCGACGCCGACCACAAGCAGCAGCCACCTGCCGGCGTGCTGCTGCCCCTTAGGCCTTACCGACCCCTTCTTCTTCCTTCTTCTTCTCTTCTCCTAATTAATTCTACTATATTATTATTTATTATTATTTATTATTACTATTACTATTATTATTATTATTATTATTATTTTTTTTTATTATTATTATTTTTTATTATTATTATTTTTTATTATTATTATTATTATTGTTATTATTATTATTATTATTATTATTATTATTGTTATTATTATTATTGTTATTGTTATTATTATTATTGTTATTATTATTGTTATTATTATTGTTATTGTTATTATTATTATTATTATTATTATTATTATTATTATTGTTGTTATTATTATTGTTGTTGTTATTATTATTATTATTATTTTTATTGTTATTGTTGTTATTATTATTATTATTATTATTATTATTGGGGGTTTTATAAAACAATTATTATGAGTATTTTAAATTAAATAAAATCAGTTTATTATTCAAATTTACGAAAAACAATTTTATAAGGTTCATGTACATATAGTTGGGGTTTTATTTTAATTGTTGTGATTATCTGAGGACCTTATATTGATTAAGGTTATATTTAATTGCAGGGTGTTTTTAACAAGAGTTCTTCAGGTTCCTTTTTGTGTGTTTGCTAAGCGAGGATCAAGGTACGGTTAGGCGGCTAGATACCTTTGAAATTAATTGGATTGAATAAGCATGTTTTATATGATCTGATTTTATTGGTGATTGAATTAAATTGATTTGAATTATAATTTATGAAATAAAGTATGTTTAAAAGAATTGATTTTGATTAATAAATTTGAAGGATTGATTTTAATATTATGGTTTGAATAATTTAATTATTTATCATGTTTTAAGAGGATTGATTTTGAAAGCATGTTGAATTAAATAAAAAGGAGTTTTGAATTGTTTTATTATAAAGATTGGAATTATTGATTTAAAGTGGATTTATTGAATTATTTATAAAAGCTTTACTATCATGATTATTATATTAATCCTACTATGCGGATTCATTGAAAACTATGGACTTTGTATGACCTAGTCTTTCCTCAAGGATAGCCTTTAAATATAAAGATACTAGCTTGGGGGGTGTGCACACTTAGGAGAATAATTGAGTTTTTGAAAAGAGGAATTGTGTTTTTAAATAGAGGAATTAACTTTTAATAATCACTATTATTGAATTTTGAGTATTGAGTTATTGGAATTATTTTGAGAATCTTGAGAATTGGTTTTGAATCATGAGTTTTGGAATTATTGAATTAATTATTGAAAGTGGTTTTAAAAGTATGTTTGCTAATAAATTGAATTTACTTATCTTGCACTTATTGTACTTAGCATATTTTGCTAATCCGTATTTCCTATTGGTTTTGGTTCACCCTGTTTACCTTAATGGTAAGCAGTGTTAGCTATTTCTCAGGTGGAGTCAATAATGAGCATTTGGGAGTCTTAGGATATTGTTCACCTAGTTAGGAATCTTGGTCATTGTTTCTATTTTTGAGTACTCATAACATTGGTTACTATTTATATTAAGTATTAATAAAGGAAAATTTTAAGTTTCCGCTGCGAAGTTGTGGTTTTAATTAGTAGTTTGAGTAGCCTTGCATAATTACACGGCGGTAATATGCCTAAGTCTATCTCTACGATATAATTAAACGTATTATACTAGTATTTCCGTAGAGGGAGATTTGTGGGTGTTACACGCCGCCATGCCTAAAAGCATGAACCACAGTAGGGCTCAATGATGAGTTGAAAAATTCCCTACAGTAAGCCTCCACCTAGGCACCACCCACCTAAGGGGAAATTCCCTCCTTGCCAAGAACACCTTTCAGTCATCATAAGACGTGTTCGCATAGTAGATTTTCTTCGTACGAACAAGATCATTGGGACTGTGTTTTTCGATATCGTCGAAGGCTTCAAACAGTCCTAAACATTCCATCAACCAAATCTGCAAAAAAAGAGAAAAATAAATAAATAAATGCAGATGGTTAGTGTCGCATTAAAAAAGTTTAATTATTTTTTATTCAGGATCAAGAATTTTAAAATTTACCTGCAATAGTACCGGAGAGCTCTTCATGATGGCTTTCCGATCAAATTACGCTTCATCAAGACCACGGAGAGTTTCTCGAAGACAAGTAGGCATAGGGATCTTCCAGATTCAACATATATAAGCACAAACACTAAACTAGCATGTCCTACTTCACCATTTGCAAATAAAAGCTTGCTAAACATTCAATGATGCAAAAACTAAAAGCCCTTATGTGATATACATGATATGATTCAGAAATAGGACGATTAAAGTATAAATTTGCAAGCTTTACCAAATTTACTTCCCCACCACATACAATTTTATTCAAGTATGCGCCTGTTAGATTAAGGTGACGCTCAAAATCATGGTAGTAGTTCTCACGCAGAGTAGGCATTGTGACAAGGAGTCTAGCAGGGAAGCCAAAAATAGCATCAAATTCTTCCGACAGAGGACAAATTTCATCATAGTCGAACTTGAAACATTGTGTTTCTAGATTCCAATAATCCAAGGCCGCTCTTAGAAAATAATGTTCAATTGCTACGTGCCTTAATGCTAATAAACCTCTGACAAATAATGTTTTTAGCTCTCTTTTATCTGTGTTGGTCAAAGAATATGACCAATCACACATGGTGTTGTCAAAGTTTTGAGACATTAGTATTAAAATATGAAATTCTAATTATTTTGTGTTTCGTAATTATGCATATCATGAATTACTAGTCAAAATTTATAGCCAAAAAGAGTCCAGAAACGAATAAAATACGTCCAGCCGCACGCGCAAAATTTTCGTGACACGGTAAGATTACCGCGCCACGGCAATTCCCACCGTGACGTGGCAAAATTTGTCGTGACATGGAAAAATCCACATCAAATTCTATCCTTGATCTTTTTATTCCGAATTTTCTTTTGCTTTTTTTTAATCCTCCATCTGCCCTTAACCGTCTTTTAGGAGTTTTATTCGAACTCTTCTTCTCCTAGCATTTTATCTTTAATAAAATTCTTCCTTAGTTTTTCTATCTTTTTATTTTTTATTTTTGGGGAAGTTTAAAAAACTTGTCCTTTTTTTTATTCATTTTTATTTTGGGGGAATTTGTAAAATTTGTCCCATTTTTTATTCATTTTTATTTTTGGGAATGTTGTAAAACTCTTGTCCTATTTTTTATTCTTTTTTATTTTTGGAAAAGTTTTAAAACTCTTTACATCTTTTCTGTTTTTTCCTTTTCGGGAGAAGGTCGGTACCCTCCACTTATGATACACAATCACACACAAATAGTCACATGCACACACTAACATACACATCAAATAAATAAATAAAGTGTCAAATGCATAAAGTGTGAATAAAATGTACATAGTAGTGTCAAGTGTCATCAACGAGTACATAATAAAATCCCTCGATCAAAAATCTCCTGATCCAGATGAACTAGGTAAAAACTCCGGTATAGGCTCTCTCAAGGTCTAATAAGGATGTGACACACCGAAAATTCCCTCCATCATCCGAGTACGTTGAATCGCATCCTTACCTAACTCCACAGCTCCTATAGAAGCCAATGTCAAGGAAGGCCCCGACCAACCAGTTAAGTACATATGCTGAGATGACTGCCCGTACATAAGCATCATCAGTGGAAGCATCATCTAAAACACCGGAACCGAATGTAAGCCCTGGTCTTAAGCAGAAGTCACTGGCCTAAACATAGGCTGTGAAGT